ACCACCACCACGCCACCGCCACCACCGCCACCACCACCACCACCACCGCCACCGCCGCCACCACCACCGCCACCACCACCACCACCACCAACCGCCACCACCACCACCGCCACCACCGCCACCGCCACCACCACCACCACCACCACCACACTTTTAGGGTGATTAAACCACAATTACCTGCGTGTGTCTTGGGACGTACAAGCCCGTGTGTGTTCTTTGCGCTAAATTTAGTTTTATCACTGTTATTGGTTTTATATTTCTGGAAAGGTGTTTCAATAATGTTTTAATTTGGACATCTGTGATTTTCATAACATTTACGATTACGTTTTGCAACACAACTGGTGATTGTGGCCCAGTTGGGATGACTTTGTGGTTTTATCGTTATATCCTCGTGGAAATTCGTTCACATATATTAATATTTTTTCTTCATATAAGACTTTTTCTGCTATATTGTAACCAAATAATACATAAATTAAGTTAGATTAATAATAGCGTTATATTGTTATTAAGTTATAGATCGTATCACCATTATGTACATGACTAATATACTGACCAGGGGGTGCTGGACGAGGGGGTGCTGGGCGAGGGGGTGCTGGACGACGGGGTGCTGGACGAGGGGGTGTGCTGGACGAGGGGTGCTGGACGACGGGGTGCTGGACGAGGGGTGCTTAATTGACGGGTGCTGGACGAGGGGGTGCTGGACGAGGGGTGCTGGACGACGGGGTGCTGGGCGAGGTGCTGGACGACGGGGTGCTGGACGAGGGGGTGCTGACGACGGGTGCTGGACGACGGGTGCTGGACGAGGGGTGCTGGACGACGGGTGCTGGACGACGGGTGCTGGACGAGGGGTGCTGGACGACGGGTGCTGGACGAGGGGTGCTGGACGACGGGTGCTGACGAGGGGTAAGTACGACGGGTGCTGGACGAGGGGTGCTGGACGAGGGGTGCTGGACGAGAGGTGCTGGACGACGGGGTGCTGGACGAGGGGTGCGGGACGAGGGGTGCTGGACGACGGGGTGCTGCCAGGTGGGTATGGACGAGGGGTGCTGGACGAGGGCCAGCTGACCACGGGGTGCTGGGCGAGGGGGTGCTGACGAGGGGTGCTGGACGAGGGGGGTGCTGACGAGGGGGTGCTGGACGAGGGGTGCTGGACGAGGGGTGCTGGACGAGGGGTGCTGGGACGAGGGGTGCTGGACGAGGGTGCTGGACGAGGGGTGCTGGACGAGGGGTGCTGACGAGGGGTGCTGGACGAGGGGGTGCTGGACGAGGGGGTGCTGGACGAGGGGGTGCTGGACGAGGGGGTGCTGGACAGTAATGCTTCTTAATTTATAATTGTGAAACGAGTTGTTATATTACAATGAAACAAACACAACTTCTTATATTGAACTCTATTGTTAATTTTGACACAGTTACTTCTGTCCACAATCACCTCTGTTGTCCACACACTTCTGCCGACGCTCAAACAGTTCTCGATGGCACCATGATAGAACTCTGTGCCTTGTTGACGGAACCAGTTCCTCACAGCTGTCTTAACTTCACTGTCTGAAGGGAAACGTCGTCCTCGAAGATGTTGCTAAGTTTAGGGAATAAGTGGACCTGAGATGGAGGCAGACGAGGGCTGTAGGTGGTCGGTCCAAGACGATAAAGCCAAAGCGACTGATTGCTTCAGTTGATAGTACACTCGTGGCTCACCATGCACTCTGGCGGGTCCAGTACTCACTCACGGCTGCATAATTATCACCACACACGTCTTTCATTCGCTGGTAAATGCCGATAGGTGGAATATTTTTTGCCGTCGAGACACACTATAACTGCATGCTGCTATGATCGCCCTTACATTATGTAGTCATCATTCGCCATGTTGACTGAGACCTCTGGTGGCAGAACTACGAAAATTCCTAACAATGGGCGGGGAGAACATACACTGTATACTGACTGCACCTCAGTTCACCTACCTACATCTACCTGTTCTGGAGATAAACGTAGAAAGCATTACTTTTCAGTGTACGCTCGTTTAATAATAATAATAATAATAATAATAATAATAATAATAATAATAATAATAATAATAATAATAATAATAATAATAATAATAATAATAATAATAATAATAATAATAATTAACGGTTTATTGAAAAAGTTCGGTAGCCCAAAGGCTGAAAATATGCATTGGACAGAAATTACTTATTACATACAAAGACATAGAGTGGGTGGATCGTTTAACAAAATCTTTCATACTAAGAGGAGAAGGAACATGAATTGAACATACAAATTATAGTTTACAGTTGATGACCCGGGCTGGTCTCTTGCCCTATTATTTGAGTTCACATAGGCCACGTGGTGTCGTGACTCGTCCTCGGGTGTTGACATGAAGGACCTCACGTGGTCATGGAGACACCGTGTGGTGTGGGGTGGTGTCACAGTACCTCACTTTCTGCTAAGCGCTGTTATGTCATCTTCTGGTGAACTCATTAGCACCTCCTGGTCAGAAGATGGTGGTCATTTCCCAGGGGTGCTTATCTCACTGGTGGGTCGCTGCTCTCAATGGTACTGTCTAATGCTGAATTCACTGGCCTAAACACTGTTCATCACTGTTCAACACTGATCCCCTTCCTTTCCGAAACGAAATTGTCACTTTTGGTGGGATTTTATTGACCGGAGGAGGGGTTGAGTGAAGGGAATTGGGGGAGTGGGCCAACATTGACCAGGGCAGCTGCCGCACAGGAGCAGGCGCCGAATAGGTGGTCAAGGATGTGTGTGTGTATGTGTGTGTGTGTGTGTGTGTGTGTGTGTGTGTGTGTGCGTGTGAATTCCCATCGTGTTTCCTTATAATATATTTTGATATAATTCACGCAATAATCACAGGATAGCAGACTTGATGTGTCACTTCAGGAGATACGCTTCAGCCTGTGCTCCAGACTACGATAACACCATTATTTTGAGATGGTAATTATTGTATCGCCAGCTGCTCGACTCTTTGGGTATTTGTTGCAGTTTTTCCATTCAAAACTTTTATTAGTTGTTGATGTTCGATAATTCATTGCTCGCCCAGCTGTCTCTCGTGTGGCAGTGATGTTTCCTCGACCAGAAATTCTCATTACTAAGTTGAGCCACAGTTCTCTAAAGGCTTCTCTGACCTGCTGCAGTTTTACTCCCAGTATTGAGGTATTTAATGTTTTTAATCCCAGTATGGAAGTTGAACGCACGTATCTCCGGGAGTTTTAATCCCAGGTTGGACGCTGAATCGCAAAATACATAATATTTCCAATGACTGAGGGAGTTTTAATCCTAGGATGGAAGGTTGAAGGGATAAATTACAGGGGTTCCTTGGGTGAGGTACCAAGCCCAGAATTACTGACCAGAATCAATAGTTGTCAGGGAGACGCTCAAGTCGATACTGCACCCGTCTTCATGGGACCCTGCATGTAAATGTTGTCATGGGAGGTCGTCTTCAAGGGACCCTGCATGTAAATGTTGTCATGGGAGGTCGTCTTCAAGGGACCCTGCATGTAAATGTTGTCATGGGAGGTCGTCTTCAAGGGACCCCGCATGTAAATGTTGTCATGGTAGGTCGTCTTCAAAGGACCCTGCATGTATATGGTGTCATGGGAGGTCGTCTTCAAGGGACCCTGCATGTAAATGTTGTCATGGGAGGTCGTCTGACCCTGCATGTAAATGTTGTCATGGGAGGTCAGTCTTCATGGACCCTGCATGTAAATGTCATGGGAGGTCGTCTTCAAGGGACCCCTGCATGTAAATGTTGTCATGGGAGGTCGTCTTCAAGGGACCCTGCATGTAAATGTTGTCATGGGAGTGTCGTCTTCATGGGACCCTGCATGTAAATGTTGTCATGGGAGGTCAGCGTCTTCAAGGACCCTGCATGTAAATGTTGTCATGGGAGGTCGTCTTCAAGGGACCCTGCATGTAAATGTTGTCATGGGAGGTCGTCTTCTTGACCCTGCATGTAAATGTTGTCATGGTAGGTCGTCTTCAAAGGACCCTGCATGTATATGGTGTCATGGAGGTCGTCTTCAAGGGACCCTGCATGTACTGTATAAGGTGTCATGGGAGGGTCGTTCAAGGGACCCCTGCATGTATATGGTGTCATGGGAGGTCGTCATCAAGGGACCCTGCATGTATATGGTGTCATGGAAGGTCGTCATCAAGGGACCCTGTACGTATAAGGTGTCATGGTAGGTCGTCTCAAGGGACCCTGCATGGCAAGGTGTCATGGTAGGTCGTCTTCAAGGGACCCTGCATGTATAAGGTGTCATGGTAGGTCGTCTTCAAGGGATCCTGCATGTATATGGTGTCATGGGAGGTCGTCTTCAAGGGACCCTGCATGTATAAGGTGTCATGGGAGGTCGTCATCAAGGGACCCTGCATGTATATGGTGTCATGGGAGGTCGTCATCAAGGGACCCTGCATGTATATGGTGTCATGGGAGGTCGTCATCAAGGGACCCTGCATGTATATGGTGTCATGGAAGGTCGTCATCAAGGGACCCTGCATGTATAAGGTGTCATGGTAGGTCGTCTTCAAGGGACCCTGTACGTATAAGGTGTCATGGAGGTCGTCATCAAGGGACCCTGCATGTATATGGTGTCATTGTACAGTTTTTAATTCGATATTTAAAAAAAAAAAAGAATTCCAGAGTACACGACATGATTGTTTACTTCTGTGTTTACATGGGATTTTTTTCCAAGGTAATTTTGGTGGAGATGTTGTCACGGCGGAGATGATATCTTCAGCCATTACTCCGAACGAATGAAAAATAACAACTTTAGATTAAAAAAAAATGCACAAAGGAGATGTTTATGACGAACAGGTGTTTATAATAATGATATGATAATTTTTGCAGTATTTGAATTATAGAAGGAGAGAGAGAGAGAGAGAGAGAGAGAGAGAGAGAGAGAGAGAGAGAGAGAGAGAGAGAGAGAGAGAGACCCACTAAGTTACATCATCACTCACGAACTTTTTTTATCCATCTTTCCAGGGCC